TTGATGCAGAAAGGTGACAGGTGAGAGAGGAAAAAGGGCAATCTTGGAGCCCCTTTAGAAAGGGGCTCATTGACTCACTGCCTACTTATGCAGTGAGTCAGGGGAGAGGATGGTCAGTTTTACCTAGGAGTCAAGCAATTGGGAGGAGAGAGAAAAAGTGTTTTCTTCTTTCTGTTTTATTTCATGAGTCAATGCATTGATTGGCCAATCAGGCCCAAGGAAATCAGAGTTAATAAAATTATCCCCTAAATTCTTGGTTTGGTTGTCTGTCCATATGGAAGTTAACCAAAACGTGAATCAGGAGGATGGCTTTTCTGCGAAACAATGAGACAATTTTAATATTAATATGTTAATATTAATATGTTAATATTTAATATTAATATTAATATTTTCTATCCGTAAAGTGGTTCTAAGGAAAGACAGGTCTCTATGCAAGGTTTTTATGAAATATTTCACCAACCAGTTTTCCCCCTTGTAATAAGATTCTGGACAGGAACAAAGGCTTCCCTAGACTTATCTTACCTTTTTCCCTGTCTCACATACACCTTTGCAGCCTGTTCCACTTTATTTTACTGTTCTCTGTTAACCATGCTGTTGCTATTCAAAATGAGGCGGTCTACATCAGTGCTTAGCTGCTATTCCCAGTCACAACCTTTGATGAAGAACTAAACAAAAGAGCAAAGAAAGCTAAAGAGCACACTTGAAAACTAAGAATCTTTAAATCAACAATTTTACTTACACATTCAAGAAAATTTGAGAAACCAATAAAAACACTTGTCAAAAGTGCAATAGAGGAAACTGTTCCTGAGATGAGAAAAGGACCTAAACCATAATTTTGTTTCTGGCTTTCTTTGGATGATTAAATTTTAGGGGCCCTCCCTCTCTACTCCCTCCCTGCTTTCTTTCCTTCCTTCCTTCCCTCCCTCCTCTTTCTCTTTCTTCCATCCTTTTTTTTTTCCCCTCATGGTGTTTACATTTTAAAAATGAACATCTATTATTTTTATAATTAGAAAAGTTACTGTAATTAAAATACTGTTTAATGATATGCTATTATTAAATGATAAACTTGAATAACTACAGGTGTAGAAAGTAGAATTATATATGGTTGTGATACAA